CACTTTGGAAGATTGTCTTCAGAATTTGTAAAAGTCTCTCAGTTTTGTGTTTATCAGATATAATACTTTCTCAGGATTGGAGGATAAGTTCTGCTCAGGCTACCACTCATAACAACAACCTCAGATTGGATGGTGGAAACAACAGAAATTTATTTCTTATAGTTCTGGAAGCTGGATCAAAGGTGCAACCGATACAGTGTTTAGTGAGGGATCTCTTCCTGCCAGCGTTCTCACCATGTCCTCACATGTGGTTTCTCTGTGCACATGCATAGAGGGGTGCGAGGTTGGACAATGAGCTCTCTGCTGTCCCATTTTATCAGGACACTATTCCAACTGGATAAACGTGCCAGATGTATGATCTCCAGTAATTATGACCTTAATAACTTAGAGGCCCATCTCCAAATACAGTGACACTGGGAGTTAAGCTTCAACATATGAATTTTATAGGAGACCCAGCTGTTCAGTCTATAAAAGAAGGGTTTGAACATTTTTTCATATGTTTGTTAGCCATTATTCTGTCTTCTTTAGGAAAGTTTCTGTTCATGTCCTTTGCCCACTTTTTGATAGGGTTGCTTGATTTTTTTCTTGCTGATTTTTGTGAGTTCTAAGTAGATTCTAGTTATCAGCCCCTTATCAGATATGTAGGATGCGAAAATTTTCTCCCATTCTGTAGGTTGTCTGTTTGCTTTCATGGCTGTTTCTTTGGCTGTGCAGAAGCTTTTTAGTTTGATCATGTCCCTTTTATTATTTTTGTGCTGCTTTGATTGCTTTTGGGGTCTTCTTCATAAATTCTTGCCTAGGCCAATGTCAAGGAGGATGTTTCCAACAGTTTCCTCTAGAATTCTAATAGTTCATACCTTAGGTTTAAGTCTGTTATGGAGTGTGAGTTGATTTTTGTGAGAGGCAAAAGGTGTGGATTCTGCTTCAGCCTTCTATGAGTGGCTATCCAGTTTTCCCAGCACTGTTTATTGAATAGGACTCTTTTCCCAGTGTATGTTTTTGTCTGCTTTGTTCAACATCCCTAACCATCAGGGAAATGCAAATCAAAATCACAATGAGATATCACTTATTTCCAGTAAGAATGGCCTTTATCAAAAAGTCCCAAAACAATAGATGTTGGCATGGATGCAAGAGAGAAGAACACTCTTACACTGCTGGTGGACTGCAAACTAGTTCAACCTCTATGGAAAGCAATATGGAAATACTTAAAGCGATACAAGTAGTCTACCATTTGATCCAGCAATCCCATTACTGGGCATCTACCCAAAAGATCAAATGAGATCAAATGAGATCAAATGTACAACAAAGATACCTGCACTTGAATGTTCATAGCAGCACAATTCAAAATGCATAGCTGTGTAAACAACCCAAATGCCATCAATCCATGAGTGGATTAAAAAAATGTGGCATATGTATACCATGGATACTATTCAGCTTAAGAAACAAGTGATATAGCACATCTTGTATTTTCCTGGATAGAGCTGGAACCCATTTTACTAAGTGAAGTATCCCAAGAATAGAAAAACAAGCACCACGTATACTCACCAGCAAATTGGTATTAACTGATCAGCACCAATGGACACATAGGAATTACACTAATGGTATTGGGCAGGTGGGAGGGGAGGGGTGGTATATACATACATAATGAGTGAGATGGCATCGTCTGGGGGATGGTCACACTTGAAGCTCAGACTTGTGGGGGAGGGAGGCAAGGGCATCATTTGAAACCTTAAATTTGTACCCCATAATATGCTGAAATAAAAAAAACAGAAGAGTTTGTATTTTTGACAAGATTACCACATGCAAAAAAGTCTTTGTGTATCATATCAAGAGATTCATGATGTTAATAATATGTCTTATTACCTTACCTTGATCACCTTAGATAAACTCATATTTGGCTACATTTCTCCACTGTACAGTTAATATCTTTCATTTATAGTTAAACAATCTTTAGAGAGATATGTTTAAGACTATGTAAATCCTGTTCTGTTCAATTTTGTCCACTCATTTTCACATCCATTGGTGAATCTTGCTTGCACTATTATTGCTGAGGCATTTGCAATGACGATTCTTTCCATTTTTTCTTCATTCCTTTTAAATTGGAATTTAATTGTAATGAAATTGAATTGCCCATTTATGTATTGATTTTTATATTGGCATAGATTCATAGGTGATTTTATTTTAGGGTTAAAGTTAAGTGCTATCATTATTTATTATGTTCAAATTATTTTAGCTTTGCTCCTTAGGAGCTCCTTCACGTTTGCTTTGTTGTTGTTGTTGTTCATTCATTCATTCATATTTTTTGTTTTGTTTTGGAGTAATTCCTTACCTTCTGACATCTAGACTCATCTTGCATTTTCCTTGTTCAGCTGTGGAATCAAGTTCTCCAAGGAGCCCTGGTTTCTTATGTTGGAGAATGGTGTTTAGAAACCAAGATATGATGCTAGGTGTGCTCATCGTTCTGGAGTGTAACTGCTTCTAGGCCTTTAAAAATTAGGAAACATATGAATGTATAGTATCCACACATACATTCACATGTATATTCTTAATCTGTTTTATCATTAAAAACCATGAATTATACCGATACTTCTTATTCAATCCAACATCATAGCATGTATTTTAGCCTTCCTCCTTTCCTTATGTCTGTCTCCAACAGTGAGAAACCAGGCTTCATTATCTACATGTATTAATAACATTCCGTGTTTCCCCGAAAATAAGACCTGCCCATAAAATAAGCCTAGTAGGATTTCTAAGCATTTGTGCAATATAAACCTACCCGAAAATAAGACCTAGTCATGGGCGTGGCTACGCAGCCCATCTGCCACACCCATGCATTTCATCACAGAGAGGTAAAAAGATGAGCAGCCCTTCTCATCTGCCCCATGAGATCTATTGCTTAACATGAGAGATTGGGGCCAATGGTTCTAAAGGAAATAGAGTTGCAAGAAATCAGGAGGAATTTGGGTTTGGAGAGTTATGATGTTCCAGAAGAAGATGAACTATATTGAATAATGTACATTGTTGTACCATACTTAAAAAAAAATAACACATCCCCTGAAAATAAGCCCTAGGGTGTCTTTTTGAGGAAAAATAAATATAAGACCCTGTCTTATTTTCTGGGAAACTTGGTAGTTATTTTCTTCCTTACCCCTTAAGTGTGGTATGTTATTCATTCTTAATACATTTACTTTCATTTCATTTTGGGCTTTCCTCATTTCCTGGTTAGTTTGAATCATTTATTTGGGAGTGAGGCATTATTATGATTTCTAGAGTCAGAGCTATATAAACATATAATCAGAGAAATGTTACTCCATTTCATCCTTGTTAACCCATTCCCCATACATGATTTATCTTTTTCCCCATAGGTAATTTTTTATTTATCCTGTACTTTTTTAATGAGCATATAATTATGTACTTTCTTACATCTCTTGCATTTTACATGAAAGGTAGCATGCTATACTCTTTTGTGCTTTATTCACTTTACAGACTATGTTGGAAATCACCCCATATTAGTTCACAGAGCTCTTCCTCATTCTTTTCTTACAGCTAGTTAGTATATTCCACTGTGTGATACACCATAGTTTATTCAACTACTCTCCTATGAATAGGCATTTAGGTTATTTCCAGTAGTTTGCAATTAAAAATACTATTGCAACCAATAAACTTTTGCATTCCTATTAGCAATGTATGAATGTGCCCATTTTCCCACAGCTCTGCCAATGAACTGTTACCATTTTCTTCAATTTTTTTGAGTTTGATAATTGAGAAATGGTTTCTGAGTGGTCTTGATTTGCATACCTCCAAATTTGAGTGAATTTAAACATTTTCCATGTCTGAAGGTCATTTTTATATCTTTTATGGTAAATTTTGTTTATATATTTTTCCCATTTTTCTATTGGATTTTTGGTTCTTTTCGCTTCCTAATCTATATTTTTTAAAAAATCACTTCACTATTATGCTGAGGACAAGTTGTAGAAGGACACTAGTGGAAAGAGAGACAGTTCCTTGGTTATTTCAATAATCCAGATGAGAGATGATGGAAGATAATCACAGTAGAGGTGGTGAGCCGTGGTCAGATTCCAGATGTAATTTGAATGTAAACCAAGAGAATTTCCTAACAGACTGTTTGTAGGGCATAAGACAAAGAGAAAAATTAAGATGAACTAGATCTGTCATTAACTGAGATAGAGAAGACCTTGGTTGAGGCAAATTTGGGTGTGGGTGATAATCAGAAGCTAGATTGGGGCTGTGTTAATTTTGAGATGCCCATTGGACTTTCAAGTGGAAATGTCAAGAAGACAACTAGGTATACAATTTTGGAGTCTAGAGGGGAGTTTCTGAATATAGATGGTATTTATATTCATGAGAACTAGATACAATCATCACATGAGTGAGTGTAGATGTAAAATCAATATAAATGGATTGAACTCTAAGTAATTCCAACATTAAGAGATCATGGAGAAGGGAAGGAATTAGCCAGAGACTGAGAAGGAGCAGCAAATGAGGCATTAGGAAAACAAAAAGAATACTGTGTCCTTAAAACAGAGTGAAGAATAAATTTCAATAAAGACATAATGATCAAAAGTATCAAATGCTACTGACAGTTCAAGAAAAAGACCAAGAATTGACCATGAGATTTAGCAATATAATGGTTACTGGAGACCTTGATAAAAGCAGCTTTAGAGTGCTCATAAGTTAAAGATAAAATCCTAATTTGAGTGAATTTCAGAGTGAGAGGGGTGGAGTTTGAGACTAGCAGCATTGGACAAATTATGAATTTTGCTGTAAAAGATATAAGCCACATTTCAGTATCATGGAATACAGTATCAGAAGAAATGTATATGGTTGATGTCTTTTATGAGCAGTAAAGCCTTAATAAGGAGAAAAATAAAAAGGAAAATATATTGGAAATGATAGTAGATCATTGAATGAAAAAAAAAAAAGAGGAGAATATAGGCTAAAATAAAGAAGTAAGAAAATTTAATAAAATTGTAGATGCAATATGTCCATTAGGATGATTTTAGTTTATTTAACTGAATGCTTACTATGTGTTAGGCATGGCTCCAAGGGCTTATAAATATAACTCATTTAATCCTTCTTCTAGTTCTCAAAATTCAACTAAAACCATTCATTTTCCAATTTTTAAATACACTCAAAGAGAAGTCCACAATTTTACTTTCTTATCTCCCTAGGTGGTTATCCAAAACTTTCAGGTGTTTGGTGTCATCTGGCCTTGTTTGGATTCTTCCTATCTGCCATGTTCTCTCCTGCCTTTAAATCTGCTGTTTCCCCTGCTAGAAAAATATTTTCACCACTCCAACTTACCCCTTTGCTTATTTAATTTCTGCTTCTCCTTCACATCTCAGCTCAAATATCATTTTTGAGGAACACATTTAAATCTCATTACCTAGATAAAAACAGTGGTATATGGGGCTACAATAGCATATTGTGGAGCTTACTAGAACTGTATTTAATCTAATTTGCTTATCTTGGATCTCTAGCCCTCAGCATAGTGGCTTTTACTCCATGTGAAATGAGAAGTCATTGGAGGGTAATGAGAGATGACTTACCTTAAAAGGTTCACTCTGGCTGTTGTATTGAGAATAGGCTGAAGGGGTACAAATATGGAAAAAGAGAGATCATTTATGATGCTACCAATACCCCACCCAGTCCAGGGCTGATAGCACTGGAGATGAAAAGAGGTCATATTTGGGGTATTCTTAAAGTAGAACCAACAAAATTTATATGAGTGTGAGAGCAAGCAGTCAAATATGACTACAAGTTTTTTTAGCCTGAGTAATTGGTAAGAGGGAGTTGTCACCAGCCACAATGGGGAAAAATGTAGGTGAAGCATGTTTAAGGGAAGAGCAGGATTTCAGTTTTAGACCAGTTTTGAGGTTTATTTAGCCATCTAATAGAGATATTAAATAGGCAGTTGGCAATACAAGCCTGGAATTCAAGAGCAAGGTCTGGGGATAACGATAAAAACCTGCAAGTTATCAGCACATAAAATAGTATTTAAAGCCATAAAACTGGATGAGATCACAAAGGGAGTGAGTATAAGCAGAAAAGCAAAACAAGGACTGAGACCTAGGGTACTTAAATGTTAAAAGAATGAAGAGAAGGAATCTGCAAGAAAATGACCAATCAATGAGGCCAAAGTGTGGTCTTCTAGAAGTAAAATGAAAGTATATGAAGGAGAAAGGAGTCAGGACAATTGGCTGGTCTTTTGAATAAATCACTGTCATTTTTTAAAAACTGTACAAATTTAAAAGTCTTCTATAGGGTATAACAGCTAGATAAAATGCATAGTCTGAAATTTAATACTGCTTTGGAGAGCCAGTGGTAAAAAATATTCTGGGGTCCACTTGGTAAATTTGGCTAGAGTATTAGAAGACATAAATACTTATTGAAAGGAGCACCTGAAGATTGTTGACTTCAAAAGCAGGAATCAGAATAGTATAAGGACCTTATTTTGGTAAAACATATGTGTACATATGGGGCACAGAGAAAGATCAGAAAGCATATATACCAAGGTGTTAACAGTGGTAAACTCTGGATGATAGAAGTATGATGTGCTAATTTTCTAAGTTTCTACAATATACATGCACTGCTTCTATAATAAAATGTTTTAAACACTTTTCAAAGGAAGTAATGATTCATGAAATCACATTTTGTTGATAAATTAAGACTACTGACAATTGACCATCGAATCTAGCAACACAGAAGTTACTGGTGACCTTGACAAGATTTGTTTCAGTGGAGTAGGGGAGCAAAACCTGAAAGTTTGTCAGTTCCTCAAAATATTAAACATAGAATTATCATATGACCCAGCACTTACACTTCTAGATATATTCCCAAGAGAATTGAAAACATACATCCATACAAAAACTTGTGGACAAATATACATAGCAACTTTATAGTAGCACAAAGTAGAAACAATTCAAATGTCCATAATAGATGAACAGATAAACAGAGTGTGGTATATCCACACAACGGAATATTATTAAGCAATAAATAATGAAGTACCAATACATGCTACACAGACAAACCTTGAAAATATTAGGCTAAGTGAAAGAAACCAATTACAAAAGAAAGTATATTGTGTGATTTCAGCATATGACATGTTCACAATAGGCAATTTCATAGAGACAGAAAGTGTATTAGTGCTTGCCTAGGGCAGAGGGCGGGGGGACAGGGAGGGTATGAGGTTTGTTTTGGAGGTGTTGAAAATGTTCTAAAGTAAGAGTGTTGATGGCTGTACAATTCTGTGAATGTAATAAAAACCAGTGAATTGTACACGTTAAAAGGTTGAATTTTATGGTATATGAATTACATTTTAATAAAATTGTTACTAAAAAAATCCCAACAGAACCTAGTTGACATCTGTATTTGCTTCATTCCCTTTCAGTATTTTCTGATTTACTATTTTTCTCTTTTGTTGCTAATGTACAGGTTTTTTATTTTAACCTCTCTTACTTCCAGGGATTTGTTCATCATTTTTTATATCACCGTATCCTTCTCCCCTCTTTTAATCTCTATCTCCACACCACTCCCAAACTCTCCCAAATCAAAGATTAACCAGATAGAAAAACTACACTTGAAAATTTAAAAAGTATTAAATGAGACCATGGTTCAGATCTACTTTTCACACAATCTAAGTAACATATGTACATATTCTCCCCCTACCAAAAGCAGCATTTGCCTAGGAATAATGAAACATCACTTTAAGCAAACAATGTATCAAATAACCTGAATTCCAAAACACGTTTGGATTATAAAAAATTACTTTGTAAAGTTATAAAACAAGTGTCCCTCACTCTTCAAAAATGTTTGAATATTAAATAATGCTACCATAATACATTTTCCTTCATGAAACAAACAAACAAAATAACAAAATGATAAGTAGAAGATATCATCACTTTATGGGTAAAGAGACCAAGCAAGTACATACATACATAAACCCATTCATAAAGCTAAGTTTGGAGCTGATCTCTCTCTTCCATTGTAGAATTTCAATAATACACAATAATTATCTATTGTTGAAGTAACACCTGAGCAATTTAGCTAAATATACAAACAACAACAAAAACCCTACACAAATATTCAAACTTGGAGAATTCAAGTTAAAATAATAGAAAAATATAAAATTTTTCCTTCCAAAAATAGGTATCTAAGACAAAGGTTTAGATACCCCCACACAGATTATTCATAAGTCACATGTGAATCAATCTTTTCGGGGTTCCTTAAATAAAATTTTATAATCAACTGACAAAAAAGCAAGTTTTATATTCTAAGACACTTTCAGAATTCATCTACAATTAACTTATTAATACAAAAGTATATTTTTAAAAACAGCCATTTCATTGAAGTCTTTTAAGTACAGGAGATCTTATTATTTTTGGTGCATCTTCTTACGCATTTCTTCGAGAGCTGCTTCTTTCTCTCTTAGCACCTGCTTAAGTCTTCTTATTTTTTCATCTCGAATGGTTTCTTCTAACTCAGGTGGTATCACGGGGAAAATATCTTCAGCATAATTTTTATTAAAGGAATGACTTTGTTCATGAGCTGCATTTGAACTCAATGAGCCTTTCTCTTGCTTCTCATGGATATAGTGTTCTATCTCAGTTTTCTTTTCTTCTCTGCTCTTGTTGAGGCTTGTGTGAATGTTATGTTGTGATACATCTGAAGCTGGTAAAATACTGTTAAGGAGTTGGGAACTGGTGACATTAGTTCCCCCATTTATGACTGCGTCACAAGCATTCAGTTTTTCTCTTTTTTGGTGTGATCCATCTTCTTAATGGTTTTTGCTTTTCTTTTTTTCAAGACTCTGTTGCAATGTCAAATAAGATTCCAAAAGAAACAAAATGTTATTTATTATATATATAACATTAATATATATGTATGTATCTATCTATCTTGTGCTGTCCAAATTTAACAAAGTTTCAGAAACAAATATTTAGCAATTATACATAAATCAGCAAATGTATTGGTACACTAAGCAAGGAAATTTCCCGCTGTATAGTATCAAAATAAATAACAATGTCCTAGTGATATTCATTAAGAATAACTGCCCAATACAGATTTTCTTGCTCAAATTGATAAGCCATATTGACCCACCCACCAAAAATAATACATTTGGGAAATGCCGTGAGAATACAATGTGATTAATTTTTTCTTCTTCTTTGCACAGTAGGCCTTTATGTGGTTAAGATTTGAAAAAACTTGACTAGTCTCATGTATCTAAGAATTCAGAATTATTAAATGGATGATATATTCCTAAGTAGAATATAGTACAGTAGCAAGTCTATAGAGACTTTCTTTTCATCATTATTTGACCATTTAGGTTTTTTAAAATGTTTGGTGAGTAGTTGCTGCAATGAACATCTGAATGCTGTATATTTCTCGACTTACTTGGAATATTTCCTTTAGGATAGTCTTCAAGGTGTCAGGTAAGCGTATGGCTATTTTTGCTTATAATTTCAAGGAAAAATAACAGTGCCTGAATTAAAAACTTATACTGCTTAATTAACCAGGGTGCATTTTTACTCTGGCATTATACGTTTCTTTTTTTCATTGTTTTGATATATAGTATATTGTAACTTTGGTAAAATCATCGTTTCATAGTAATGGTACAATGCTAAAATGAAATCAAGAAAATTATAAATCAAAAAAATATATAAAGAATAACATTTTGTTTCTTTTGGAATCTTATTTGACATTGCAACAGAGTCTTGATAAGAAAAGAAAAGCAAAACCATTAAGAAGATGGATCACACAAAAAAGAGAAAAACTGAGAATGCTTTGACGCAGTCATAAATGGGGGAACTAATGTCACCAGTTCCCAACTCCTTAACAGTATTTTACCAGCTTCAGATGTATCACAACATAACATCACACAAGCCTCAACAAGAGCAGAGAAGAAAAAGAACTGAGATAGAACACTATATCCATGAGAAGCAAGAGAAAGGCTCATTGATTTCAAATGCAGCTCATGAACAAAGTCATTCTTTTAATAAAAATTATGCTGAAGATATTTTCCCCGTGATACCACCT